TAAAGTCCCTGCGGTCATACGTACAAAAAATTAAAAGCCTACGTGACCCGCTCGTACTACTACACGCCCCGTGCCTGTTCTTCGCGGCAAGTCATTACATAGGCATCAAACTGCCGTCACAAATTGTGCGGCCGGCAGCAACAGTATGAAATGGAGGTCGACCACCCGCGCTTAGCCCTTTGTCGTCGTTCTGTTCTCGCGCTATATCATCATGTCATTCCAACTAGCCCAAACCACCACACTTCATACTGATATTACGATATTGGCACATGCGCTGCTGCGGTCGGCTATCATGTGCCGCCGCATTCTACCAGTAATCGGCCATTGCCGTCTTATCGGTGCCATCTGCGCGTGGCTTAGCTACTGCGGCAGAGAGAAATGGGATAACATATTAACAGTAAATGATGAATATGGCGCATGCTGTGCGTGGTCTTTGTGTTTGGAATGTTCCAGAAGTGTCTAAACTACAAAGGGGTCGCCTTCTTGGAGTATCTTGCACTCCTAATTGAACTGCGGCCCAATTATTGGCGTATCTTTCAGTTTTGTGACGAACATGCCGAAATAATGAAGCTCGTTACATTTGTGAAGTCTTTGCTTGAGCGCTTACCACGCCACTTTTTTGTTGAATCCCTTGAAATGACATCCTGCGTTTCGCATATTTTATTCGTACACTAGGTTTAAAGAAAGAGATCATGGGTAAAAAAAATTGCCGTGGTTCACAATCGGCATGATATGAAATGTATCTTAACTGCGAATTTAAACAAGGTGCATGATATTTCTTTACACGGCCACTGGTAACAGTTTACTTACGCTGTACTGTGCACCATCCATGTCTTTCGGTTGTCTGCTTCGGGCATCCTGAAGCGAGTCACTGGAACTTGACTGCTGGCATCAACACCTTCACGTTCATTTACGTTTATGGTATATATGGCATCACAACGCAACAGAACCTACGATCTTTCTGTAGAGGCGCAATCACAAACGCGAGACGTTTCACCCGAAGATACTGGGCAAGCGCGAACTTGCCGGCACCTGAAGAGAAGCGGAGGAAACGTACACCCGCGAATCTTTCCGCCAGGGGAGAAACGAGCGCTAGCGTTTAAGGCGGAATATGTAGCCTACATGGCCACTTTTTTTAGGGTGGAGACATCTCAAAAAGTGCCCTAGAAAACAACGCCAAAATCAGCGGGAAATCAGGCACGCTGTTGCCAACTTCCGCCAAGTTTGGCATAATTTTTCTGTGCGCTGCCAATTTGGGGCCAGCCGTACAATCTCCCCCAGCTACTCATGATCTGCAAGATTATTAGTGACTTGCAGTGTATTTTCAAAGGCCCCTTTTCAGGCTATAACCTTATTAAGGCAAAAAAGCCTTCGATACATCAGGCGTAAAATGTCGGTGTCGTCTAGCGTCAACGTAAGCATGAAGTACTATATGCATCAAGCGGGGAATGTAACCATAGGTGGCGTCGACCAGTGTCGGCGTCAACACGTTATCAACGCCACCCTTTACATGCATCAAGCTCGAAACGGGTACCGTCGGTGTTGTCCAGCGTCGGAGTCAACACGTTACATGCATCAAGCTCGAATTGTAACCGTCGGTGTCGTCGTCCAGCGTCGGCGTCAACACGTTACATGTATCAAGCGTGAAACGTAACTGGTGGTGGCGTTGTTCAGCGTCGGCGTCAACACGAACCCTTAGGTATCATCATCATCAGCCTGACTACGTCCACTGCAGGACAAAGGCCTCTCCCATGTTCCGCCAGTTAACCCGGTCCTGTGCTTGCTGCTGCCAATTTATACCCGCAAACTTCTTAATCTCATCTGCCCACCTAACCTTCTGTCTCCCCCTAACCCGCTTCCCTTCTCTGGGAATCCAGTCAGTTACCCTTAATGACCAGCGGTTACCCTGTCTGCGCGCTACATGACCTGCCCATGTCCATTTCTTGTTCTTAATTTCAGCTTAATTTAAGCACGAAATGTAACCATGTAACCACCGGTGGCCTCTAGCATCGGCATCAACACGTTACGTGCAAAGCTCGAAATGTAACCGTCGGTGCCGTCGTCGAGCGCCGGCGTCAACACGTTACATGCATCAAACTCGAAACGTAACCGTCCTTGCGTCTGTCCGTGCGCACGTCCGTCCGCTTCGCTTCACTTGTCATCATTCACCTCGTAGATATGCTGCGATTATTTTTTGTGCTACCTGGGACTTTGATGTACCTAATGATTCGTGTTGACGCCGGCGTTGGACGACACCGACGTTTACATTTCACGCTTGATGCATCATGTCGACACTATATAAGTAACCTACATAACCACTGCCTTTGACCCACTACACGTCGTGAACGCTTCTCCGCCTGCTAAAACTTATTGTTGCCAGACGACAATGCTGCACAATCGCGCCCGTGCTGCGTGTACGCCTGGCTGCATTTCATCCTCCAGAATACGGCCCAGTATGTTATATATATATATATATATATATAGTTTGTCGTATTCTTTTTCAGCTGCAGCTACCCAGACTGCATTTCTCGTTACGCTGCTTCATAACCTTACGATGACCATCTTTTTATTTATGAACTTAAATTACATGAGTATTTTAGTAGATCTTTCCAAGGTTGCGATAGGCCTGCACGTTTGACTATATTGCACTTTTGTCACTACACAACACTGCAGAGTGCCTTTAGAGCATAGTAATCAATATATTGTCCACCACCATACAAACAAAGTTTGGTGGACGAACCGAATATTCTATCGAGCGCGCGCGCGTGTTGTTAGTAGAACATTCAGCACATGTTAGTGCCTTGGGTATACGTTAGCACACGTTCGAAGAGTCACAATGTTTCTACGTGACCTATCAGACCTTGGAAGTGTGTCTAGCTTTTACCATTAAAACTAACCTCTGCCTAGTGAAAATTATCGTAGCGATGGCCTCCGGCGAGATCTATTCCGGCGGGTTCAAGTATGACCACCGCTGCAGCATTTGCTCCCGTCGCTGAGCCAATTGAAGCGTCCGTGGCTCCTGCCCAACATCTCACAGAGTACCATAGCCTTTACAAACACCGCGGCAAGGTTTTCGTATGCATACATTATTCAGAGTAAAATGCCCAGGAATGATATATTGATATTAGCATCGCTTAGTTTTTAAATCAGCCGCGAAAAAAAAGATGGGCAACAGGCGCGAGGGTTGGGGTTAGGAAAAAAAAAAAAAAAAAAAACTCCCATGCATTTCTCCGAGGGTGAACATGGTTAAGTGCGAATGCACGGGGTTAAAATCCGTTGGCATTCGACAGTGAGTTAACGTAAACTCCCCCGTGTGATCACATTGCAATTCCCAGGAACCATTAGACCCTCTCGGGAAATCTTGCCGAGTTTACGCGTATATGTGAGAGTGAATTCGCACTACAATGATGTTTATGTCCGCGGCCCGCTTGCGCTGGGCATCACGGGCCCTTCGCCGCGCTGCCGTCTTCAACCGGCGCGACATCAACGACACGTGCAATGCTCGCATTCGATTGCGTTGTACTCGTTGTTGGAGGTATCGCAGTCGAGGTTGACGCCTGCGATGGATCCATACCTATGATGACTTGCCGATCTCGAGCAAGTCGTGGCTGCGCGGGCGCGCGCAATCACGTGGTGTGACGTCACTGTGCCGTTGCTACAGACGCTCCTCGCGCCGTTGCTAGGGGAGGGGAGGCGCACCGCGGACCCAGAGTCGCTTATGAAGTGCATTCGCACTTTATATCTAGCAGCGAAGCTCCTTTTAGTCTAACCTTGTCCTGCGTCAGGCGTAACCGAGAATATACGAGAAAAGAAAGGCAGGCAGCATCTCCCGAACAGTATAATAGACGGCGCTGTCTCATAGAAGTACATACCAACTGCAGTTGAGTGAGGATATTCCTGATGACGCTGTACCGCTGCTCTCCGATTGGCTGCTGCGCGGGTTGTGCTTGAGTACGCGAGGAAGGAGTGCTGCCTCTTGCCTCATTGCCGTACGTGGGGGGATCGTTGGCGGGGAAAGGACGAAGCTGAGTGAAGGGCCTCGGCGGCCCGTGCTCACCACCAGACAAACACGCGCGCGCGCGCACACACGCACGCACACACACACACGCGCACGCACACACACATTATATTGGTTTTGCTTGCGGAACAAGACTAAATATGTATGTATTGATTTGAAAAAGCTTGCAGCCAGTTCGTCTCTTGCATGTCGGGAAGTAGGGCAAGATGTAACCTGCATTCAAGACTACATTGTTGCAAGTTTGTTGTATGAATTGTTTCATCCCCTAGTGTTGCGTGGCTTATTCCTCGGAACTATAGAAACAGTCAAAAGAAACCTCGACAAGAGTGACGATCGTTCACTGGGGATCTTTGTCCTCGAATATTCTAAGCCACAATGAAACGCCACACGAGTACAAATAGGTGTCCATAGTAGTACTTGACTAATCGTGCCGCCTCAACGAGAACCGCAGCGTTTGCCATGTTGCAAACTTGCTTCTCTATCAAGGTTAGCATGTTGCAGACATTTATGAACACTCGAGAGAAACTGACAAATATGTGGCTACAGATTCCACACTAGCAAACCACTCCAAGGTGCTTGGGGCGTTGCTTTTCATCAGAAAAAACACTCCACACTTAGTGATGCAGCACAATTTAGGTCGAATTTTTTTTTTTCTAGTCTGCCTTATAACAAAGGCCAGAGTGGTGATTAAGTATGCACGTATACAATGAGGCATATGCACGATATGCATGATGCTCAAATGCGCACTTTGTGGTCTAGCATTGTGCCACGTTCCACCTTGCGGAAATGCACCAATTATAGCTTGTGGGAACTTGTTTTGGCTTAATCTTGCCAAAGGCATGCAACACAGGGCTGCATAGGCATGAAAAAAATGTCCTATTGTTTCATTTGCATTTATACAAGGTTATGAAGAAAGCCAGTCACCACCCCAGATTCCGGATCCTGAGCAGAACGGCAAAAACATCACTAAGAAACAAGTGACTTGTACCTTGGAGGGCAAGCTCATATGATGCATTTTATTGTCTCTTTATTTGTAGATGTACACAAGTGTAAACAAAATGTCTGGACAAGAGGAATGCACAATGCCTACATGTGATAAGAACAGTTACTACAACAGTAGTCAAATAACTGCCTGTGTGCCAGACAAGATGTTCTTGTACACAAAATGTGAAGATGGGGAAATGCCTGTAACATAACAAATGGAACAATTTGGCCTACCTTCCACAACAGTTGTGGGGAAAAAAATTAACATAAATAGGCATGGTCCATGTAAAAACAAAAGGCTTTACACCCTGCACTAACTCTTGCTCTTCTGCCTCCGATCTTGCAGTGGTAATGCCGCACCCAGCCTGAAAATTGCTGACGTCCCCCCCTCCTGCTCCTACCAAAGCTCGCATGGTAGGTGCACAGATGTGTTCTAAGGACTCAATACCTACGCAAGCTACCCCCCGACGAGTATCGGTCCCCTGCACCAAAGCTATTTCCCACCCCACCATTTGAGAGGCTGCTCGAATAGCTTCCTCCACCCACGGCAATGGATGAATGCGAGCCTGCACTGCTGGCGCCTCGACTGCTAGTGCTACTGCCGACGGTACTGCTCCAGCGATGATGGTGATGGTCTCCACTGCCACCATTCCACGAAGAAGAGCTTTCTGGCTTGCGCGAGGATGAAGAAACCCATGACTGTGATCCGCTGTTTGAGGTGGCGAAGCTGCTGCCACTGCTGGGCTTGGTCCAGGAAGGTACAGCGAACGCACCGCTGCTGCGGCCAGTGCTGGCCCCGTCATACGACGAATGCTCCCTGCGGCTGGTGCCTTCCGAGCGCCACTCATCTCGCATTGAGGGTCTTCGCGACGATGACGATGAGGTTGGTGGCGGCGGCGGTGGCGGTTGTGGTGCGGCCATGGAGCTGCGTGAGCCGTTGTGGCGATAGTCTGAATTGCGGCTGCTCGAGAAGCTCTGGCTGCCCAGGGACGAGGAAGGCATGTGGTGGCTGCTGCCGTGCGTGCTGCCGTGTGTGCTACCGTGGCTGCTGCCACTGCTGTGGTGGTGGTGGCTGCTGCTGCTGTGATGACTGTGGCGACTGCTGCTTGTGCCTCCCCCAAAGCGCTCATCCCTGTCTGAACGCTGGCCCACTGGCTTGCTTGTGCTAGAGGCACTCTCGTATTCTGGCCTGGTGATTGTGAGGAAAGTTATTAATACCGCTGGTGCAAAAGTTGGGACCCAATTCAAGCCTAAGAGGGCCCTCTAACACTTTTTTAACCCTTTTTTTTCAAATTTTGTTTGCGGGTTGTATATACCAATGATTGGTCAGATAAGTGAAGTAAAACAACTCGAACACAAAAGCTGGACTTTAAAATTCATTATAAAAAAAAAGGTGCCTGTACTCATATCTATAATTACACACGGTCACATGTTCGGTCACACCCACATCGTGGAAGTTTCATGGTTGCCTTTATTGAGTTTACTGATGATTGCGTCACATGAAGCCCCGCTTTAGGCGAGAAGGGAGACAGCGACTTTGCTTGATTGAAACAGCGAACACTTGAATTGTGGTCTTCATATGTTAAACAGCATGCACATGAACCCAACGCTGACAACTCTTCAGCGAAGACTTTCTCTAAGATTTCAATTTTGTACTCTGTACTCTCGTGCAAGCTTTAGCTTTCGCCCTCTTTCCGTTGAAAAGGTTTGCAAGGAGAGAGCACTCAAAAAGATTGCAGCGGCCAACAAAAACTCACGACACAGATGGTGTGTGGTTGTTTACAAAAAAAAAAAAAAAAAAAAAAAAACAAAGGTGCATATTACGTGCTTACCTTGACATGCACTTAAAATTTCCACATAATAATTAAGTAATTTCTTACGGGTTGTTATGGTAACTTGCAATACAAAAAGTTAGTTTTCAAAACTCTATAGTTCTTCTAAAAGGTCCATCCCATAGAATGAAGTAAACTAGATGTCAAAACGGCTATTTCTTTAATTAGAAGTAACTGTCACACTTTAAAGGCAAAAATGACCTTCGAGTATTAGCAGGTATTTATGAAATATTTAATTTTCTATCCAGGTTGAGAGAAAATGAAAAGCTTTAACTAGTAGTTGAATTGCTATGGAAAAGAATACCAAGTCTGTTTAAATATGTTCACAGAAACTTCCTCAAAACTCCCGTAAGGCAGATTCACTTTACAATACCGTATTTACTCACATAATCCACACACTTTTTTTGCCGGAAAACTGATGAAAAGTTGGGGGGTGCGAGAATCGCGGGGAAAACTTTCTGCGAAAACGTACAGAGCGAAAAAGAAAACGAAGTGGCCGCAAATCGAGATTCTCACACCAACAACTAACAGCAAGCTTTAAGAAGTACTAATTAAAACTTACCTCAACAATAAAAGCAGAGGTTCAACACAAGACAAGATTAAATTGAGACACAAAAAGTGGAAGCTAATGGTCGAGAATCAGAATACCATACGTAAAGCTGGCGGACGTTGCGGGCGTAGTGGTAGCGTTCGCCGCTCAAGAGGAGCCCTCAAAAGGTAAGCGTGGAACGCCAGTATTGGGCTGATGGCTATTTAACAGAGTTGTCTGCAGTTTCTTTCTTAAGAAATAAAGTTTACCGTCAATCCCAAGGGCCTACCGGTGGCCCTGCCGTCGTTCTTTAGTGCATTATCTATCACTTGCAACTTTAAAGCAGCCGTACAGCTTCAGTATCACCTCATAACTTGACAAGGTTACCGATGCAGCATACAAAACACGCCGCAACGCGCACTGGCCACTTCAGCTTCGCTTGAGTTGGATTGAATCTCTGTGCAATTGTACGCTTGATGCTTAAGAGATGGCGCCAGATGATGTGCGCTATCATTAGTGGCTGGAAAGAGCAGACGACATTATTGCAGCAGTTTTCGGGGGTGTGATAATTACTCGAGGAAAAAAAGAAATGGTATTTTTGTTGGGCGACGTGGGGGGGGGGGGGGGGTAGGAGAATTGTGCGAGTGCAACGATTACACGAGTAAATACGGTAATAATGTTAAGAAAATTAAGTTGTAACTTTTAAAAACATTTATGATTTATATCTATTGAGCCTTAACAGAGAGAAATAGAATTTTGCCATAACATACTCTTCAGAATCTAATTTGTGTTATAAATACCTGAAAATTGTGATTTCTGAAAGTCAACATTTTGAAACAATTTGCTATTTTAAGACCCTTGTCTTGCCCCTAGAGGTTCATCATGCTATCACCCTATACAACTTGGAAATAAAGATAATGGGGGACAAGGGAGCAACTCGAAAAAGTGTTAAAGGGCCTCTTATTAGTACCAAATTTGCCTTAGACTTCATCCACAAAAAGCACCCTGTTAATGCAGGGCTTTGAAATGCATGTCATACAAGAAAAAAAGCACTGCTATTAAACAAAGTCAGAAAAAAGAAAACTTGATAGTTGAAAGTTCTTTACAAATGCAGAGAGCTACATCTGAAATGAGTCTAGCTCTAAACAATCATGGATTGGCACTAGTAGGGGCCTAACAAACTATAGCATAGCCACTTTGGTACATGCATAGCACGAGGCACTGCAGATGATCGAGTTTACAAATCTTCACTATCCTATCTAGTATTCCAGTAATGATATCAGTTCATCTCGAACGTTGTAGATTGCACAGCAAACAAAAAAATTCCACAATCTTAACTAATTTTTGCAGTTAGCACGAAATAGTCCATTTACCAGCTAGGAGCCAGAAAACAACTGCTGGCACCTTTTAAAAACATGTCTTTACCAAGGGTTTCACTTATCACTTCCAATATGTTTTGCTATTTATTCCAGATTTCCACCCCATAGAATGTTTAAGCTGGCCACATATGCCACCCCAAACTTTCATAAGGTTTTCCAGCAGATTTTTTTCACTTCGCTTATTTATTACTTAATCTTTATTGCAATACACAATGTCAAAAATTTAATAAAGTGCACATGCAAGTCTATAGGTCAATGAACTTGCAAAGTTGATTGTTTACAATTATTACCAGAAAACTTCAGAATCAGGGCTGCCAAAAAGCATGATTTATCTTCACTTCTCAATTTTGAAGCACCCAAAACTTACAACACTAGTTAAGAAGAATCCCAACAGTGAAGTGCCCTACCTACGATGCGAGTTATAATGTATTGATGAATATGCTCTGTCTACGCGGTTCACTAACCTAGTCTGATGGGATCGCCTCCGCTCTGTGTAAAATGCATCCTCTTCCCTTCGGTCAGGCACGAGTGGTCGCTTGATAGCTCGCCGCGTTTCTTCCACTCGGCTGCAATCCAAATGTGTAAATGCACAATGTAAAAGACATCATACAAGAAAGATTATACAGGCTATCCAAGCTACCTGAACCCCAAACAACATGTGAGCGCACATGCACACACACACACACACACACACACACACACACACACACACACACACACACACACACACACACACACACACACACACAAAAAGCGCTTGAAAAACCGTATCAATAACACAATAAAGACCAACTTCAACAAAATTTGACTTGGGCAGAATCGGCTCAGAATGCATGGTATATGTTGGGTAGGCGATGACAACGACAGTAGAAAAGCTTGCAATCACGTATTTCCTTTGGAATCTGTGCTCTTAATTGTTGGTTAGCAAACGACGCAGAGTTCTAGCACTGTGCCAAGGCAAATTGGACACGAACGGAAATAACGATATATACAGCACCATCTGTTCCTTCACTGCTTGATGCTCCTTCACGGGCGGATAATTCAGAGGAGCGAAATGCGGCCCTGATTGATTGATATGTGGGGTTTAACGTACCAAAACCACCATATGATTATGAGAGACGCCGTAGTGGAGGGCTCCGGAAATTTCAACCACCTGGGGTTCTTTAACGTACACCCAAATCTGAGCACACGGGCCTACAACATTTCCGCCTCCATCGGAAATGCAACCGCCGCAGCCGGGATTCGAACCCGCGACCTGCGGGTCAGCAGCCGAACACCTTAGCCACTAGACCACCGCGGCAGGGCGAAATGCGGCCCTGTAAACCGCTGGAACGTATAGAGTCGAGCGCACATATAACGGCCCCACTTAAAACGAACTTTCGCTTAAAACGAACAACATCTGCGTGACCGTCAAAATATACATTGGTTCAATGGCACAAAATTGCACTTACAACGAACGTCTCCGAGCGCCGCTGATCGGTTACAGCAAACGGAGTCAGCGGTCTGCCGACTTCCAGGGAAACCAATTTCGACCACCGATCAAGCATCGGCAAAGTGCCTATACATTCTTATTGTTAAACGCCGACCCTGCCTCCGCGACCCTCTAGTTGCCGCTCTCCCCAACCCATGGAGGAAGGAAAGCTGTTTCCTTCCTCCATGCCCCGACTGCTTTTTGTTAGGCACCCCTTCGTCATTTGTCCCCCCCCGCTATTCTGAGCACCCCGCATTGCCAGACTACTAAGTGATTCTAAGAGAGGGAAATGAAGAGAAAAGTGAGCCCCGTAACTGTCTGCATCACGGTGCGACACCTCAACAGTAGCTCACAGGGGATGGGGGCGAGGAGGGATTAAAAGGATAGAAGTAAAGGTATAGAGAAAGAGAGATGCGCTAGGCCAGCGAGCAAGGACATATTGCCACGTTCCATTTCCCAAGCTTTTTGTTATCGTCCCAAAACACCACACGATTCTCAGCGCAAACCGCGCCTGCAGTTTTCGAGAGGGTTCCGGACTGTAGTAGATCATTTCGATAAGATCACGCCCACTGTGCGAATGGTACAGATTGTTCTGGAACGTACGCCGCCGCCAGCGGTAGCGCTAGAACATTCGACGGTGGGAGTATAAATGCCGACGCGCTTCGCCGCTTGTCAGTTGTTGATCGAAGGCCGACGCTCCGTTCGCCGCTATCAGTCTGAGACTGCTATCTGTGCGAGACTGCTGCTGTAATTGGACTTTCTGTTTACCGGGCACAGGTTCGCCCAAATAAACAGTTAAATCCGAACAAGAAGTCTCCTGTCTTCGGCCACGTCACGACCCCGTGACATCTGGTGGAGGTGCTGCTTCGTTCATGTACCGCACGCCCCCGTCAAGCCGTGAACCCAGCCCACGTCGCGGAGAAGACACCGAGGCCAACCAGGAGCAGCGAACAAGCCGCCGACAGCAAGGGCTACCACCGGAGTTCGGGATTCTAGAAGACAAGGCGCGGAAGACCAAGGCCATGACCGCGACTGCAGCGACAATGACAACCGCCGCATCCCTGCCCACGATGGTCATGCATCAACCCAGGGAACCACCAATTTTCCATGGGTCATCGTTCGAAGACCCGGAGTCTTGGTTAGAAACATATGACCGTGTGGCCGCCCTCAACCACTGGGACAACGAAGAAAAGCTCCGGCGTGTGTACTTCTACCTGGAAGACACCGCAAGAACCTGGCTAGAGAATCGTGAGTCCACGCTCCGAATGTGGGATATCTTCTGCGGCGCATTTCTGCAAACGTTCGCGAGCGTTGCTCGCAAAGAAAGGGCCGCTGCTCAACTAGAGATCCGGGTTCAGCTACCGAATGAGAAGGTTGGAATTTTCACAGAGGAGATGACCTGCCTATTTCGTCACGCTGACCCAGACATGCCTGAGGAGAAGAAAGTTCGTTTCCTCATGCGAGGCGTCAAACAGGAGCTCTTCGCGGGACTAATGAGGAATCCACCGAACACCGTCCAAGAATTTGTATCCGAGACGACCACCATCGAAAAAACCCTTGACATGCGCACCAGACAGTATAATCGTCGCCTGACTCCAGAATGCGCTGCTGCTCAAACCAGTGACTCCGAAAACCTGCGTGAAACGATCCGAGCAATCGTGCGGGAAGAGCTGCGCAAACTGTTGCCTTCAGCGCAACCTCAAGTGGAGGGGATAGGAAAGATGGAAAACACGGTCACAGGAGCCCGAGGACAGGGCACCACTTGCGAGAGCTCTTGTCGGCGTCAGGAGGTGGCATAGGGCAAGTCCAGTGGGTCAGAGCTATGCTGTCGTCGAAGATCGGCGTCAGCAGATGACGTTGGGCCAGCCCAGTCGGCCAGAGCTGGCGTCGCCGGCCTGGAGTGACCAGACCATTTACCGACATTGTCGGCCACCGACTATCCGATATTCGGCGTCTTGTGCACGCGCGTACACTATCCCACCAACTCTGATAATTTGCGATTCGTTTCGTGCTTAGGACTTGTTCTCGCTCACTTTGCCTTCAGCTCAGCATGCCTTCCGCGCGCGCGCGGAAGCGCGAAATTGGCTGTTAATTTGTGTGGAACGAATCGCGAAATATCGAAGTTCGTGAGGCCACGCCAACGCCAACCCGCCGGCGCAACAAAACGATTTTTCACCTTGGCCGCAGATTCTTCGAACACCGCCGTGCGAGTTTCTGCAGACCTTTCAAGCAAGCTACCCAACGTGCCTCCTTCCCGTGTGTTTTGGTTTCCAAGGTCGCCCTCCCGCCGCATCCTTCGCCCTCTTTATCGGAACTCCTTGCCCTTCTCTCGCAAGTCTGCTCTCCTCTCTTGATCACAACCCCTGCGCCCATCTCCACCACTCCGCGACGCCCGCCACGCTGGCTCGAATTAGTTTTGTTTTCTGACTGGAAATGGGCCCAGAGCTGTTCCACGCGTTCTGGCACGTGTGTCGCATGTGAGCGTCTTGATCGCTCTTGGTGTGCGTGTGTGGTAATGGTGGCCGACGGAAGGACTAGCACGCTTTTTCTTGCCGCTCAACAAAACGTCGAAAGTGTGACCGCTTGGCTTGAGCATAATTCGCGCGTTAGGTGCCGCGTTGCGGAGCACTTGCTCATAGCTATTGACCACCTGGCAGTCAACTTTCCACTTCCGGCATCCCGGTATTCAGCTGAGCATGGAGATGGTGAATATTTTGTGGGCGGCGGTGACGGCTACATGCGCGCGAAACTATTTTCGCGAGGCCGACTTCGTCGACGTCAGGCCCGATGCCGAGCCAGAAGCTTCCAAACTGCAGCAGGCGATTTGTGGCAGCGCGTCGTCGACTCCGACCTGGGAGAGCGGGTGGGACATCTGTTGCGGTGGTTTAATTACGGCCGACGATCAGGCCGACACTGCGGAACCGTGCACGGATTGGGGCATTGTGAATGAAGTACGTGGCGAGAGCGATTTGGAGGAATCGGATAGCGACAATGACGAAACTTCTGAGCCAGTGCCTCATGCAGCTCATGCCACGGGCCTCGGCGAACGAGCACTTTGCCGTTTTAAATGAATTTGAGACCGCCCTTATTGCTTCTGCTCTTCGAGACACGTGCATAACGAACTTTCTGAGGCAAAAAAACTTTCCTTTTCACTCACAACTTTTTTAAAAGCTGTGTTTTATTTACTACGAACTTCGGAATACAGCGAACAGATGCCGCGTCACGCTCAGTTGGTTCCCCATTTTTTTGCAGGTTCTGCATGTTAACAGCACCAAGAATCTGGACAGTTAGAACGACATTACAAGAAATTACCACTTCCTGGTGTGTGAAATTTTGTAGAGAGATAGACAAATACTTGCAGAAACCAAATATGTCAATTTTAAAAAATGAATTTTGTCAATTTTAAAAAATGAATTTTGTCACTTTTGGTCCCAAAGACCAGTCTGCCCCCTTAATGTAAGTGTTTTGGGCGCATTCAAGCAAGTAACGTATTCACTCGCGCAATGATCCCCCTGATCCTTGGAAAAAAGAAAAAAACTTAGCGGGGTACAGAAACAAAGTGTGTGGCATCCAAAATGGCGCTCGTGCTGCGTCAAGCATGGTGTCATGGGACACTCCACGCGCTCGCCATCTCAGACCTATGCAAAGCGCAACTGCACCCACCGAGCCGAAAACGGGCTGTGCACCTGCAATGTCTTGAAATGTTTGTGTGCCGCCATCTGACCCTGCGTTTTTCTTGTTGGGTTTGTTGTCGTTAATTTAGTTGGGACATCTGCTGCGCAGGGCTAGTTTGGCCGGTACGCTAGTTACACGGCTGGTTACTAACAGCATGCTAACAGAGCGTCGACCCATGCACTTTTAGATATGCACTTTAACAAACCTTTGAGACCATGTATCTTTCTCTGTGCATGCTTCCAATGCTTGCTTTTTTCGTTACCACTTAGAGAGAAAACACTGGGGCATTGGTCACGAAGTGCATATTTCAGAGCGCAGAGCAGATAATTCACCTGGTTGAGCTGCTGTCTATGTCACTTCCGGTTAGCTGTAATGGCTCCTATTTTTCTTAAGTAATTACTTGCATTTCGATGGTAAAAT